TTCAGTGTGTGAGAAACAGATATGACCTGTGACGTGTCCCTCCATCAGCTTCAGTGCGTAGGTGAGAAACCAGTACTCAAAAGTCACAAGTTCCCCTTGAGCCTGGGAGACGGGTCAGCGGGTAAAAGTGTTTGCCACCAAGCCCGATGACCTGACTCCCGTCACCAGGACCCACATGGCCGCAGAGAGCCGACTCCCACAGCTGTCCTCTGACCGCCACACACGCACCACGACACATGTGCAACTTCCCCCAAACAAACGTAATTTAAAATTTTGTTTAAACCAAAGAAAGGTTAAACTGTTATCCAAAGTTACAGCCCAAGGACTCGGGGACTCTGGCTGAAGCGTCGCCCACCGGTGTATCTGGGTAGATTAACACAAGAAGACACCCACTCACAGAATAAAAGAACTTTCCACCATAAGGAATTCAGCTGGGGTTTGAGTCAGCCCCGCAGAGAGGCCCAATCCACAGCAGGACATGACCTGTGGTGCTGCAGTCTGAATGTCCCTCCAGATGCACTTTGATGTGTAATTGGCATGTAACAGTATTAAGAGATGGGGTTTTTAGGAAATTATTAGGTCACCGTCCCCTAGATATTCACAGCAAGCCGACTGCATCCTTTCCCACCCGCCCCTCTTCAGACAGGCAGACCCCAGCTCACTCACCTGGCTCCTCGTGGTACTTGGTTCAACACTGTCCTCCCAAAGCGAGTCTGCTACGTTCCTCCGCCCCTCTCCCAACATACGTGCAAACGCTCCTCTAAGCACTCCTTGACTCAACCTTCCCTCTTTACCTCCAGCCTTACTCAGAGTTCCTCCCGTCCCTCTCAGGTCTCATCATGATCGACACCCCACCTCCCTCCCCGAGTTTCTCTACATCCTCACTCCATCGGGCCATTTCATCCACACCACCCCCTGCTAAACAAAGTCTGGTTCCTCTCAAATGCCACAGGCAGTGAAGCAAGAAGGACCCGGGAAGGCACAAGTACAAGCTTGCTTTTCTAATTTTCAAATTATTATCCAATTATCGTTCAGATGATTTCCTTGGGAGACATTCCCAAGATTGGAATTCAGGGGTGAGGAAGGTGGGTTATCTCGGTGACTTACCGCTCCCATACATGTGAAGACAAGCACCTACACGCCCCCCTTCCTATTCTTCTCCAACATAAATATCTTAAGAGTGTGTCGGAAGAATTTCAGTTAGTGCTTTACCTCTTGTTCCCTTTATTTTTTCATTAAAAGAGTTCAATTAATTTCAAAGCACCATCTATGAAAGTTTCCTATCCCCATACGTTTGTTTGCTACTTTATTTCCATTTTGTATATATGTTTCCCAGGCTACAGATACTTTTTTACTAATTGGCAGGCATTTCACCAATCTTATAGCGTGGAAATTTTCCCTCAAAAGACTAAGAAGGAGGAGGCTCGGCTTATGCCCTTCCTCATGCTCCAAGTGAATCTCAAATAAAAACAAAAGTGAATTGAGAAGGGATTGTCACCTGTGTTCATCTTCATTAGAATAATAAGCCACTTTCTCTTTTCAATAAAGACAAAAAAAATGGTACAGAAAGGGCTTTGGGTATGGAGAGAGAAAAATTCCCCTTTTATTGAATATTGTGTTTTTAATGAGAAATATACCCAGAGGCTGCCGGAGGAAGTGAGTCACTGGGGGTGGTCCTTGAGTGTTCTAGAAAATCCTGGCAGAAGTGAGTCACAGGGGGTGATCCTTGAGTGTTCTGAGCCTGGGTTCATTCCTTGTCCTCTCTCTGCTTTCCTCCAAGACAGGACGGGAGGAAGAAAGTCCCAGCCACACCCCCCGGTTTCCATGAGCATCACACCCCCACTCTGCACACATGAGCTAATAGGCCCTTCCTTAGTCAGGCTTGGTGATAGCAGCGGGACCAGTAGTAACTGATGCAATGACTTTCAGCAGGCTTTGGCAAACTGTGCATTTTCCTGAAATTTTCACTTATGGAAAAATGAAGTGATTAATATACTCTACCTCTTGAGTCTTGATCCCTCTACCTAACCTCCCCTCCCCTTTTCCCTCCTCTTCTCTCCCCTCCCTCTGACCCTCAAAGACTGTCAAAGCCACAGTAATTTGTCGGAAAGACTCATCTAATTCCCTGTGAGCCCCTTTTAGAGACTTCGGAGCTTGGGCCTTGACTCCTCATTGTAAACCATCATCTTCGAGTAAAACTGTCTCAAGCCAGATATGTATTCACAGCTGCAGCACCTCACCCAAACCTGGAGAAGTCTGTCTGAAAGGTACCTTTTTTTTTTTTTTTTTTTGGAGAGAGAGTCTCTCTCCCTCTCCCTCCCTTTTTCTCTCCTCCTCCTTCCCTCTCTCCTTCCCTTTCTTTCTCTCCGTCACGTTCTCCCTTTCTCTCTCTCTCTCTCTCTCTCTCTCTCTCTCTCTCTCTCTCTCTTTCTCTCTCTCTTTCTCCTCTTCTCTCCCTCCCCCGCCCCACTGTCCTGGAACTCTCTATGTGGACCAGGCTGTCTTTGAACTCACTGAGATCCACCTGTGATGTAGGAGGGTTATACCTCATCACTACACACCTGCCTCTGTCTCCCAAGATTAAAAGCTGGGATTAAAGGCGTGCGCCGCCCCCACCCAGGTTGGAAGTGCTCTTTAATTCTTATCAAACTCTCTCCATTCTCCAAGGTTCTATATTCTTGGCCCTTCTTTACTACAAACACACACACACACATACACACACGCACGCACGCACACATGTGCGCACACACACACGCACGCACGCACGCATGCACACACATGCATGCGCGCGTGCGCGCACACACACACACACACACACACAGCCTGCTTTCCCCTGGCCTCTGCTCAGGAAAGTCTCCTTCTCATCCTTGTGTCCCGGGGCCTCCATGCATGCTTCCATTGACCCCGTACGGCTCTCATCCCCTCACCATTCATTTGTTTTGTCTGCTTTTACATCGAGGTATCTCTTGACTCTTGACCAAGGGTGCAGTAATTACGAGTACATAGGCCATGGCAGCTAAATATAGGACAGGTCAGACACAGGATATTTCATGTGTCATCTGGGCGCTTGTCACCTTTCCTCTCTATAGGTCCTTTGGATTAATTTGTGTCTTTGTTTTCTTCCCATCCCTCCAAGGAACCTGAGATCCATGGAGGTGGGTCAGTGCCCATGACTCTGCAGTGGTGACTGCCTCAACGGTGATAAGAGCCCACCATGGATATAATCTACAAAACCGAGATAAGCTTCTGCACTGGAGGGGCGAGAAGACCGTGCTGAAGGGTAGTGCACTCTGGGAAGAGGCCATGGGCTCCAATCCTTTACTTCCAAGGGTGCAGTAATAACGAGTACATAGGCCATGGCAGCTAAATATAGAGAAACATGTTTGACCAGGCCTGGCGCCTCCATCTCTCCTTCTGACACCTTCTAACCAAAGCTGCCCGTAGCTCTGGAGACAAACATTCTCTAATCATTTTCTCAGTGCTTCTTTTGCAACCATATAAGTCTCACCTTTCACACAGCAGGTAGGAAAGTATCCAAACAGTATAAATACAGTTGCACCAAAGTGCAGCTCATAGCTCGTGAGCTCTGCTCATAACATATGCACCGTCATCCCCAGAGCAGAGCCCACCTCAGCTGCCTGGTCCTCACCACCTGGCCATCTGGCTGTTGTTAGGATCCTGCGATCATTTACCACAGTTAGTGGAAAAGTTTGCAGACCCAGGCACTGGCTGACAGGACCTGGGGAGCGAGGTCCCTGATGTGGAATTTCCCCTGTGTATGCTGTGAATACGTTTTATTACCATTGGTTAATAAAAAAAAGCTGCTTTGGCCTATGGCAGGGCAGAATATAGCCAGGTGGGAAATCCAAGCAGAGATAGAGGAGGAAAGAAGGCGGAGTCAGAGAGATGCCATGGAGCTGCCAAAGGAGAAAGATGTCAGAACTTTACTGGTAAACCACAAGCCTCATAGTAAAATATAAAATAATAGAAACGGGTTCATTTAAGATACAAGAGCTAGCTAGGAATACACCTGGATCATTGGCTGAACAGTGTTGTAATTAATATAGTTTCTGTATGATTATTCTGGTCTGGCAGGCCGGGGAAACAGAAGTATAATCTCTGTTTACAGCTTGTTTTCTGTTAGGTGTCCAGTTAGGAGTGAAAGGACACAGAAGACCCCATTAGTATCTTCAAGGGGCACAGGATACTGATAGTTCCTGGCCTCCTGCCTGGAAAGACTGACACCAGAGATACAGATTGTCAAGACAGACACCGGAGGAAGCCACCCCACAGGGACACTGAAGAAGGCCACTAAAGAGACTCAGAGACCCAGAGTTGGCGAGAACTCAGAGAACCACTGGGTCAGGCAGCTCAGAGGCCCTGGGGAACTTTGAGGTTGACTCTGCCTCAAACACCCTGCCTGGTCCTCAGTGGAACACAGCCGGGGATTTAGGGATGGGAGATATGACATCTAAAATGACATGTTTACAGTCACCCTCTGGACCTATAGGGGACTGGTTCCAGGATTTTAGATACCCACAGACAAAATCTGAAGATATCTCGTTCTCCTGTATAAAGCATTTGCACATATAACCCGCCCGTAGACCCTGGATACTTCAAATCTGTAAAGCATTTCTGCCCCATGAAATATGAAGGTTGTATATATAGCAATCCACTTCTGATTAGGGGATAATGACACAGAAAGGAAGTCTGTAATCTTCAAAATAGACATATTTTTAACTTGAATTTTTAAAAACTATTTTATGTGTATGAGTGTTAACCTGCATGTATACCTGTGCACCACGTGTGCAGCACCCACAGAAACCAGATGAGGGCGTTGGATCCCCTGGAACTGGAGTTATAGTTGTGAGCCTCCCATGTGGGTGCTGGAATTGAACACGGGTCCTCTGGAACCAGTCAGTGCTCTTAACCACTGAGTCATCTCTCCAGCCCCATCCTAGATGCAATTTTTAAAGAGATGTATTTATTTACTTATGCATATGAGTGTTTGCCTGCTTGTGTGTGTGTGTGAGGCATGTGTGTGCAGTGAGAAAGGAGACCAGAAGAGGGCAGCAGATACCCTGAAGCTGCAATCACAGATGCTGATACCTGCCTTGTGGGCAGTGGGAACTGAACCTCCGTCCACCGAAGAGCAGCCAGTGTCTTAACTATGGAGCCATCTCTCTAGCTCCAGACTTTTTTTTCTTTCTGAACAGTTCAATCCTATGATTGGTTTAATCCATAGATGAGAACTCAGGGAGATAATCATAAAGAAAGCATGTCAAAATATTCTCCAAGAAAAGCCTGGAGAAGGGCTTGAGGATGCTCTAGGTTAATGGTCTTGCAAGGCTGCTAAGTAGGGAATGATATAAATGTAAAAATCTCATCTAATCAAAAGGAAGCTTCCTGGAAGGTGCCAGGAACCCAGGAGGAACAGCGGTGTGAAAGTGCCAAGCTCTGGAATCCAATCCCAGCACTTACCAGAAAGCTTTCTTCTCTCTCTGAGTCACTCCTTCAGGTTTCCATAGATTAGAAGGCTCCTTGCCAAGCTGTTTCAAATATGACCAAGGTTGTGAGAGCAGAAGATACCACTTCATGTAACTGTATGGTTTTCTATGGCTTCAGCCTCGCTTGCTTAGTGTGAGAGCCAAAGTTACATTATAAGTTCTAATAACTATGCCATAAAAAGCTGTGAAACAAAGAGGCCTCTGAACTGCCAGCCCCTTGCCCAAGGACAGTCAGTTCCTGGAATGCTGGAGCTATTGTTTATGGGAGATAACAAACCACATGACTTCACTCCCCTAAACAAGCATGTTTGACCCATCTGCACTGGATGTGCTTAATCACACATGGGCAGGAGGTTCACAGGCTGGAAATAAGTCAGGATTACGTTTGCCCCAATTGGATGTAGGCTGGAGGTACATCAGGATGTATGCTCACCCCTGATTGGATGTAGGCTGGAGGTACATCGGGATGTATGCTTGCCCCTGATTGGACCTGATGTGAAATACTTAAGAGGTATAAGCCCTAATTCGGGTTCATCTTCCGTTAACCTAGAGATGGACCTGGCCAGAGCCCATCCACCCAGCCAGTACTTAATTAAAACTTGCTACAAATTTGGCCTTAAACTGTAGTAGTGGCCTAATTCTCAATCAGTAGAATTAATATTTTCTGGAGGCCTCCAGAGAGATTCAGAGTGCTCACCCAAATTCTAAAACTGGACCTTCATTCTGTAACTCTGGGTCTGAGAGGCCACTTCAGGAGGCACATGCCTGGATGTTGACAGAGATTTCTGCCCACCCGGTTCCAAGGCCATTCGGTCCCAAAGAAACACATGGAGGCTTACATTAATTATAAACTGGGTGGCCTATTAGCTCAGGCTTTCTTATTAACTAATTCTTACATCTTACATTAACCCATTATTCTCGTCTGTGTCAGCCACATGGCCTGGTACCTTTTATCAGTGAGGCATTCTCAGCTTGATTCCTCTGTGTCTGGGTGACAACTGCAGACTGAGTCTTTCTTCTTCCCAGAATTCTCCTGTTCTGGTCACCCCACCTACACTTCCTGCCTGGTTACTGGCCAATCAGCATTTTATTAAACCAGTACAACTGACAAACCTTACAGGGTACAAGACCATTGTCCCACAGCACCTGAAGATGTTCCAAAGCTCCAAGGCTGCCTTCAGTTCATAGTCATCAGAGTGAATCGCCATGCTGAGAAACGCAGCAGGGATCTATGGGGGCCTCCTGGTGAGTCATAGTCTGGTTCTGCTCTGTGGGATCCCTAGCTGGGATGTGGAGGAGGTTTGAAGGGACCCCAGTTTTCTCTCACCCAGGGCATACCGTGAGATGTTGCCCACCCATCTGATGGTTGGAAAGTTTTGTCTCTCTGTGTTTTCTGGTGCATCCATAAGTTTTGTTGCAAAGCTGAGACAGAAATGGGTTGGATATATTGAACCTGGGTCCTCTAGAAGAGCAGCCAGTTCTCTTAACTGCTGAGCCATCTCTCCAGCCCCATCCTAGATGCAATTTTTAAAGAGATGTATTTATTTGCTGTGTCTGCTGCCATCAGCAGTCAGTCACCACCACTGCATTTATGATTGGGGCTCAGAATTTATCTCTTGGCTCTCTGGTCCCTAGATTGGGTTAGTAGGAGTTCAGATGTCTTTTTTGGTGTAGATAACATTAAAGTTTTATTCTGTTCTTCTTTACAGGAAAGCTGGCTCTAAAATTGGATGGTGGCTCTCCCTTTGATAGACCCAGGCATGTTTAAGTTTCCTCTGTGTCCCGTGTCAGTTTGATTTGCCTGGCTCAGGGACAGGAACAGGGACAGGAAAGCAAAGCGTAACAGACAAGACAATTAGACTTGGTTTATGCGAGCCTTCTGGACATTGGGATTTATAAATCTGTTTTGTTGGACATGGTTAAAAATCTGTAAAAATCTATGAAAAGAGTTAACTTACAACTAATAACACTAGGAGTTGATAATTAAAAATGTACGCATGGGTAATTTTCAAGGAACCATGGGCATGATTCATTTTGGGTCTCGGCTGTCTTTCGGCAGCTATGTGGGTTGTCGCCATCTTTGCTAGGGTTAGAGGAGGTAAATGTCATGTGACTTCACTATCTTTCGGCAGTCACAAATCTTTGCTAAGATTAAATAAGATGGATATCATGGGATTTCATCACCATCTTGATTTAAAAAGTGACCATGTGGAGTGGACCTGCCAAAGAGGCAGCCACAGGTCTCCAAGATATCTTGGATTAGGATGGATTTTTATGTGATAATTCCTGTCCTGTCCTGAAAACAAAGTTTATGAAAGACAGGATTTAAAACCAATGCTTGTTTGGGGCTCAGAGGCTAAGAGCACATACTGCTATTCCAGAGGTCCTGAGATTAATTGCTAGGACCCACAATGGGTGGCTCACAACCACCTGCAGTTCCAACTCTGGGGAATTGCCATGCCTCTGACCACAAGGGTACCTGTATACGTGTACACATGCTCCTGCACATCATCAAGAATAATAATAAAAATAAGTCTTAAAAAAGATGTTTGTTCAATAAGGCATTAAAGCTGTACCTCCATGCTTGTATATGCAAGAATGAACCTTGCTCTGCAGCTGAACTTTGTAACTTAAGAGTCACCCAGGTGACAATGGTTTTAAAGACACGAAGGGATCATGGGGAACAGCTGAGGTTTGCAAATGTGTGGCAGGGCTAGAGTTCTGAAGAGGGCCCAGTCGCAATGTGGACCTTAGCAGTTTTGGAAATGCCGGTGCCATGTGACGGTCACCAGAAACACCAGCCACAATGAAATGGAGCAGCTCAGATCTAGAAGGCAGCTGTGGATATGCTGCAGGGGGTGGGGCCAAAGAGGTGATCCAAGCCTCTCAAGAGAACCAGAAGGTGTGAATGATCCCAGATACTGAGTTTTGGATTGTTTGTGTTATTGGGATGCAGTTTTGTCCTGTGCAGATTATGGTTGTGACATTTTTCTCCCTCTTGAAGTAAAAAAAAAGCAAACTATTTTTGATATTACAGGAGCATACAATAGAGAAATTTTATATATTTTAAGAGAAAATTTTAAAGTTTTAGAGAAAATTTAAAAACTGGGTAATTTTAAGGAACAACTTTAAAAAATATTTAAATTTATAAGCCTACGGAAAAATTTAAGTTTATAAAATGTTTTATATTATTAATACATGTTTAGATTCAGGGACCTTTTTCCAAATAAAAGGGGGGATATACAAAAGAGTAGATTACTGAATCTGCTTATGAAAAACAACCACTGAACGACCTCTGGAGCGGGGAGACTCTCACTCAAGTCTCGGATTGACACGGCCCCCAGGAACTCACGAGAGACGTCCTTGCTGCAATCACATGAGGTTTATTGACAGGACAGGAAACAGTCACTGGGGCTGAAACTCATTTCCCACGCAGGGGTAGAGAGTCCGACCCTGAGTAGCCGGGAGAAGGGGTATTTAAGGGAAGAAACCATCCAAAGGGGGTAGGGAGGGCGTCATTGGAAAATTCCGAAAATACCAGTGATCATTGAAAAATTCCGAAAATACCAGTGATAATCACAAGGGGGAAAATCTTGTTTCTTAAGATTATAACCTAACTTTATCTTCAGCTAGTTCCTGAAACAGAGTCACTGAACCGGTTAATCTAGATTTTTGATTCTTCTCTCCCTGCTTAGATTTTTGGCTCTATTTTTTCTGCTAGAGGGGTCTGGATTTATCCAGGTCTTTCACTATTAGTCTCAAATATTTTACATTGGTATGAATTTTTATATATAGACACAAATTTAAGTTTATTTTCGTTATTATATATATGTATGTATGTATTTCTACACTTATTTAAGATATTGTACCTAGGTAGCTCATTTAAAAATGTAATATATAATTAAGAAATACATATTAGTAGTTAGTCATCTATAATAATCAAACTTGTAGTCATGTTAAGTATTTTTTGAGGTTAGGCCTAGATTTGTTTAGCTCAGATATACTTAATAGATAATAATACTCAAACTTGCTAGAGATCTGATGAATATGGCATTTAAAACATTTAATGGAAAAAGCTTATTACGATAAACAGAGACTCCCAGATCCTATCAGTGACTCCAAGGTCTCCAAAGAAGTTGGCAGGGAACCACAATGTCTCTGCCTGGATTGTGATAATGCTAACCATTTGGCAAGACTGCCCCAATGCCACACCTGCTGCCAGGACCCTGCCCAAGCTGTGGACAAGCAGGACACCAAAGAATTGATAGCCCCCTTTGCCTAGACAAAGTGAGATCAATCTCCCCCTTGTTCCTCCTCCATAGGAATGCCTCTCACCTTCTGGGCCTGGCAGCTGAAGATTGACACTGTCCTGGTACCTCTTTCCCCAACATCGTGGAGACCAGAGGATCCTGGGAAGACTATGGGGTCACAGATGAGAGCCTTGCTCCACCTTAACTAAAGGTCAGAGAGGTTGAGCCTATTTTCACTCTTTCAAAGTTGTTGACAACAGGTGTGGCTACAAACGAGACGTCCTGACCTAGGGTGTAGTTACTTGGTCTTTTGGACTTTAAGATGGCCCATAGAGGTGGATCCACTCCACCCTGACCAAAGGTCAGAGAATTCAAGCCTATTCCTGCTCCTTCATTTTAAAATAGGAGGTTTGACAAAGGGAGTAGCTGCCTACAGGATACTTGGTCTAAGGTGTACTCGCTGCATATCCTGCCCAAACATCAGAATGCTTAACTCAGGAAATAGTTGCTTGATGTCTCAAGTATTGAAGCAAGTAACTGTTCTGGTTGTCCTTTGTGCCCTGTCTGCCTTCTTCCTCCTTTATGTGTTAGGGTATATACACATATACAAAATAAACACGGGCAGGTTCAGTACTCAGTATTCACCGAGTTGCCCTCCTGGTACTATCCCAAGTCTCTGTATTTCTTTTGTATCTCTGTCTATTCTGTCTAACATTTCTAATCCACACCCCACTACCCTGGAGCATATGAACCCATCGTGACTGGACCGTGACAAATGACCATTTAGGTAATGGGCTAGTCTCTGTCATCTTAATTGATACATAGGCCATTTGAATTATGCTTCATGCTATAATTTATCCTTCTCAGAGCGTTAATGGTATTGACGAGTAGGCTAACTATAGCTTTGCCAGCTTAGAAGCAGCAGGTAACCAGGTTCTTCCCTATGGCTGCTGCCACCTTGTTAACTTATTTTATGTGTAAAAATCAAGCCTTGCTTTTGCTAGAGCTACTCAGTCTCCTGTAGAGAAAAGGCAGATGGGTTTGCCTTACCAACAGGCTTCATATTAAAAGATAAACAGGTTTCAGATGTAACTTTCCACTAAAGGAACATGCTTTGCAATGACTGTTCTCAGTAGTGACTGCTTGTGTCTCCAGTAAATCATTTGATGGAAGAAAGAATGCTTAAGTCTCTGCAAGTTTTGAGGGTCTAAGAAAATGTTCTAAGGTCTGAGGATATAAGAGTTTATGTAAGTTCTGAGGGTCTAAGATATATAAAAGTCTGAGGATATGAAAGCTAAAATAAGTTCTGGGGGACTCAGAAAATGATTTAAGATTTAAATGCAAGTTATAAAGGTATAAGAAATGATTTAAAATATATGAAAATGAAAAATGTTCCAGATTTCTTTCTCCTTCTTCACTGTTGCTACACTAAGATTTCAAAAGTTCCAAGTTTTAATATTGGTCAGTGGAGTTCTGAGGCTGGCAGAACACTGACCTCTTACTGTTCAGTCACAAGCTCAAGATTGCAGAGTTCTTTTGATTGTCTTCTAAGTGTAGACTTAAACGTGCTTCTCGTCAGGCTAAAGTCTTCTCTGTCCAATCCATATCTAACTCTCTGGCAGAGGAAAAAATATTCATGCTTTTTAACCCAAATCTACAGCTTTTGCTAGGACTCAAAGGTGTGAACCTATTTCCAGCTGTTTTACAGACACCCATTACCTGTTTTTTTCTACAATGCAGATTTCAGTAAAGATTGGTAATGCTGCCATATCTAAAACTTCCTATCTCTTTGGAAACTGAAAAATTCATGTAAGCTTCAGAGAATTGAGGGAGCCATAAGTCTTGAATCCACTTCTCATAGGTCAAAAGGATTCCAGGTAAGTACAGCCTAATTTCTCCTGTCTGTCTATTCTTGAGGATGGGATTCCCCCCTTTCTTTCTCTCTCTCTCTCTCTCTCTCTCTCTCTCTCTCCCTCCCTCTCTCGCTCCTGGCCTTGGGGCTCCCTCCTCTCCCCCAACTACTAAGACCATGGCCTTAAAGTTCCAAATGTAAGATTTTTCTTTAACTTCCTAAATTTTAACTTTTCCCCTAGTTTATATCTGTCTCACCAGATTTTCACTTGGCTGACACATCACCTGCTGACTACAGTCTGCTCCGAATGACTGAGAGCCCTGGACTTGCTGAAAACTGATGTGAACCAGTGCAGCCTAAATGAATGCTCCATCTCTTCAGCTGGGTCAGCAATCCCGATGAATGCCCCATTGCCTGAATTCCCTTCTTGCCTTTGACTAGCATTCCAGCCTTCCTGGGCCCTGACAACAAAGTCCTAGTTTCAGTAGGAAGTAGTTACAGAAGGAGAGTAAGTTACCCCTTGTTCCCCAACAGACTGGAATGTTAGATCAAAAGCAAACTCCCTGGCTTAAACGACAAAATGGCTACCTATTGGCATACCAAGAAAAGTACCTGTTAAAACTGGATAGACCTAGATCTATCAACAGGTAGATTAATTAGGATGTAGGCTTGCCCCTGATTGGATCTGATAGGAAATACTTAAACTGTTGTAAACTCTAATTTGGAGCCATCTTCTGGAAACATAGAGGTGCAGGGCTGGAGGGAAAGTTTGTCTCCCTCAGCTGGCAAGGGGTAGGGAAGACTGCACTCTGACAGTGGCAGAAGGCCTGGGGGCTTTTCCTAAATTGTTTCTTTTTCTCAGTAGGCTCAAAATAGTCCTTTTGCAGCAACAAGCCCCGCTCCCAGTCCTTTTCCTTCCTATACTCACCACTTCCCTGTGAGTTCTGCCCTCCGTTAAAGTGACCCACAGACCTCCTCCCACACAAATCGAGTCAATTACATCTTCGAGTATTTACTTCTTTTTGACAGAGGTCTTCGGGCATGTGCAAATCAAAGTGGTGATAGCAAATGGAATATGATGTCATTTTCTCTTATTAATCTGTCTTTCGTCATTGTACCTTGATGTGCTCGTTAGCTTTCTGTCAACCTGGCACAAGCTACAGCCATCAAGTGTTGGGGACTGTGGACCTCCAGACCCTGAATTTCCTGCGACCCCCTACCTGCTGGAGTAGGCGGCTTGTTTTCCTATGTTTGCAGCTCCTCTGAGCACGAGACCCTCAGGAGTTCCTGATAGCAGAGGAGTGGTTTCTGGTGGGCTTGCAGCTGAGAGTTAGGGCGTGGCCATTAACCAAGGAGACCCTATATAAGCTGCACTGGACCACAATAAAGGGGACATTCTTGGCTCTCTCCCTCCCTCTCTCTCTCTCTCTCTCTCTCTCCCTCCCTCTCCCTCTCTCTCCCTCTCCCTCCCTCTCTCTCCCTCTCCCTCCCTCTCCCCTCACTCTCCCTCTCTCCATCCGTGTGCACGTGCATGAGTGTGCATGTTTTTCAATCTCCAGACCCTTGTCCGACTCATGATCCGTACAGTAGCGCAGTAGTGCATAGAGCAGGTGTTGCGCTGCAATAAGGAAGAGCAAACCTCAACTGAGAAAAGCCCTCCATCAAACTGACCCATAGTCAAGTTGGTGGGCCATTTTCTTGATTGACAATATGGGATGATCCAACCTACTGTGGGTGATTGCCGCCCCTAGGCAGGTGGTCCCGGGTTGTATAAGAAAGTAGACTGAGGAGCTGTGGAGAGATGGCTCAGTGGTTAAGAGTACTGTCTGCTGAGGACCCAGGTTCAAGTCCCAGCACCCACATGGCAGCTCACACCTGTCTGTAACCCCCATTCCAGGGGATCTGATTCCCTCACACAGACATACAAACAGGTAAAACACTAATGAACATAAAACAAAAATAAAGGAAGCTGAGCAGGGCAGCAGTGGCATGTGCCTTTAATCCCTCTTGATCTCTCTGAGTTCAAGGCCAGCCTGGTCTACAGAGTGAGTTCCAGACCATTGAGGGCAATACAGAGAAACCCTGTCTCAAAAAAAAGCAAAATGAAAGCAGGCTGAATAAGCTGTGAGAAGCAAACCAGTAAAGTAAGCAGCGTTCCTCCATGGCCTCAGCATCAGCTCCTGCCTGCAGGTTCCTGTCTTGACCTCCTTCAGTGGGCAGGACGTGTAAGCCGAATAAACCCTTTCTTTCCCAGGTTGCTTATGGTCTACCAAACTAAGACCATACCCTAGCGGTAGCCTATAAGGGAATAAACATTTTTGTTCCCCATAGCATCCTCCAGTTAGAATAAGCACTGTACTGATTAAAATCTCATTCTCCTTAATCTCATCAGTGATAATCGTTTGTGTTGTGTGGGGAGGGGGATCATCACATGGTGGACCCATATGGATGTCTTTCTAGACCTGTTTGTAGTCTCTCCAACTCTGTGGGGACAGGCTCAACAGGAGCCAGCAACTCTGTGGGGATGGGCACAGTGTGAGCCCCCAGCTCTGTGGGGACAGGCACAGTGGGAGCCAGTGGCTATGTGGGGTGGTGCTGCTGGAGCTCCTTCTGCTCCTTCAGCCAATAGCCGCAGAGTTACCAGCCCATTGGGGCGTGGTCTCTCTCTTTAAAAAAAGCAGCGGCTGTCCTCCATTCTCTCTTTGGCTTCCGGCTCCACTTCCGGCTCGTAGACTCCTTTCCTGTTCGCACGGAGGAGTGTTGTCTGGGACGGTAATCTGTAAGTTTTTTCCCCTTTGAATAAATAACCATTCTATTAATCATAATTCCAAACTGGTGTGGGATTGTCTGTGACTTACGCCTTCAGGGTGGGAGCCAGCATCGTCACAACACACATAGGCATCCTCTCCCTTGGCTTCCCCATCCTCTGCTTGGCTGTGCTGGCTGAACACTGTGAGCGCTTCCTGAAACCATCCCAACAGTCAAGAATCAGATCCCTTCTTGGGACCAAGATGAGGAGTTGGGGAGGAGCACCAGGCAGCACGCTAGCCTGTATCTTCCTGGATGAAGGGCACAGCCAGTCCAGGCGGTGTCCCGGTCCTAAGGGAAGATGAGGGTGTCTTGGTTTCATTTCAGTTGCTAGAACAAAACACTCTGACAATATCAACTTAGAGAAGTTAGATCACAATGTTAGGTTACAGGTCATTATGGAAGGGAAGTCAGGGCGGGAGCTAGCCACACCCACAGTCAAGAGCAGAGAGGAACTGGACCAATGGCTCAGCAGTAAAGAGCATTCGCTGCTCTTGCAGAGAACCCAGGTTCCACTTCCAGCACCCACATGGCGGCTTACCATTCCTAACTCCATTTCCAGGGTAGCTGGTGCCTCCTTGTGACCCCTGAAGGTATGCAGGCACCCATGTGGTATGCACATATACATGCAGGCAAAATATTCATATATATAAAATAAATAAATCTAAAAAGCTTTTTTAAAAAAAAATCAAAGAGAAGTTCATGCATGTACACTTAGTACCTGCTTTGCCCTTTCCGCTCAGAGACAATTCAGGACCCAAACCCAGGGAATGGTGCTGCCCACGGTGGTAGCTCAGAACACAGCCAAGAGGGTCTCCCCAAACATGTCCACAGGCTGACCTGATCTAGACAATCCCTCATTTAGACTTTCTAGGAGATTCTAGATTGTGTCAAGTTGACAACTGAAGCTAAGCCTCACCAAGGGTGTGGAGCAGTTCAGAAATCGATGTTTATTTCCTCAGGGAGTGTCTGTAGGTGCTACTGTGAGGGCCTGGGGCATCTGTGATGAGGCGGTGGATGTGGCCTTGCCCTCCATGAAGGTGGAACCAGCCCAGCAACCCACACATGCAGAGAACCGAGGCATGGAAACTAGAGAGTGAGCGAGGCCGTCTGAGAACCCGACCAGACGGTGGCATGGCCCACACCCACCCTCACTGGCTTTTCTTACAGCCTCTGTAAAGCAACCAAGCCGTTTATTGAGAGTCTGAGTCTCCAACCCTGGAGCAGACTCCCCAGGGGCCCATAGTCCAGGAAAATGGCAGTCAGCACTGACTTCCCACAAGGAGGCTTTCAGGCCTTGGGTGGTCAGATTCCAGAACATTAGAGGGCTTCTGGTGGGGACACATTCCCCATTCATACAAGGACACCTTAGCCATGTTCCTCTTCTTCCACACCCTCTTGTGGGTACATTTCCTCCCTGGAGTGGAACCCTCTCCTCCCCGTCAGAGGCTCCATTACACTGCAGCTGGCTGGCTGGCAGTCCGTGTTGTTAATAACTCTGATAAACCTCTCACCTAAATGGACAGTTCACTTCCGTGTCCCCCTTGAGAAGTGCTCCTTGGCTCATGGCTTCCCTCTTCAGGATGCTTCAAAGCCAGTCACATCATATCTGCCCAGGAAGAAAACCTTCCTCTACCTTTTTAGGCTCCGTGACTAAGGCTTACAAACGGGACACAGAATAGACACATGAACAAAAGAATAGGGATATAGATTTTATTTGGTATTAATATGAGAGGGTTAAGGAAGAAAAAAGCAAAAATCTCGTGATGGGGAGGGAAGACACACCAGAAAGAAAGGCAGACAGGAAATCACAGGAGGCAGGGAGAACCATCTGGGCAAAGGAGAGGACTCACAGCAATTAGGTGTTTGTAGACACCAGCTCTAATGTGCCGTGCTCCCCATAACCTGAGGAGAGCAAGGGCTTGTGGGAAAGGTAGCAGGAGGAGGTGCTTGAGGGGAGCAAGGGCTTGTGGGAAAGGCAGCAGGAAGAGGTGCCTGAGGGGAGCAAGGGCTTGTGGGAAAGGCACCAGGAGGAGGTGCCCGAGGAGAGCAAGGGCTTGTGGGAAAGGCACCAGGAGGAGGTGCCTGAGGAAAGGGCTAGCAATGTCTGAGGACAGCATGGGCAGGCCTGGGGGCTCTGGCATCAGAGACTTCCAAAGGTGCAAGGATCCATGCTCTCAAGGCATCTGACGCCACAGGAAGCGATTGGGGAAGCTGGGCGTTCTGATCCACAAACAGAATCCTCCAAAGAGCAGAGAGTAGGCAGTGACTGTTGCCTAGGAAGCCAAGAGCCCCCCCCCCACACACCCGACCCCCCCACCCAGGCAAGGTCTTATTATGTAACCCAGACCGGCCTTGAACTCACTGTGCCCCTGCCCCAGCCTCCCGAGAGCTGGAGTACAGCATGTGCCACCTCTCTGGCTCCTAGGGATTTGTCTTGAGACAGTGTCCGTGTGTTGGCTAGTTTGATGTGACCATGACACAGGCTAAAGTCTTCGGTTGCTTTTGGTCGTGGTGCTTTTTTACAGCCTCAAGCTTGTGGCAATCCTCCTGCCTCAGCCTCCTACACGCTGGGATTTCAGTATGCTCCACCAGACCGGGAGAAGAACTGAGGTTTTAAAGGACAGAGTCCTCAAAAAGGAAAGAGCCTTCCCAATTGTGGGTAGATGTGGGACAAATGCCAGCAAAGCTCAGTCCCCAGGAGAAAAACCACGGCGAGGCTGAGATACAAAGTTCAGGACTGCCCGGAGCCATGGAGGCAGAGCAAGGGGAATTCCTGTCCTCTGTGGTTGGGCTCTTTGCCCTGGGATACCCGTGGGTAATCTTGGTAGCCTGTCATGTGCCCTGGGGAGTGAGACAGAGGACTGAACCGCAGAGCATGATGGGTGAAGGCTAGGACGGGACTCTGTGGGGCACAGGGTCCTTCCTCAGGCTCCTGCACCCCACACTCCTGACCTGAGGGACAATGCCATTAACTGTCGCTCTGACAAATGCAAATGGCAGGGCCAGGGGTTCAGGCCTCCAAGGAGAGGGATGTGGCATGCTGGTAGGAGTGGCTGATGCCCAAGCTCACCAGTGAGATGCTCAGGACAGGCACAAACCGGGCACATGTCTGACAGGGCCAGCTAGAAGATTACCTGTGGAGACTGCAGGCAGCAGCCTGGGCACTGTACTGTGAGGTGTTGTACTGTGAGGCGTTGGTGGCCCTGGCCTGTCCCTGTAACCAGACCCCCCAGAGAGGCCTGGGCTTTCTTTTTCTCTTTGAAACCTTATCTTTGAGGGCTAGTGCCATAGTTCAGCAGGCAGAGAGCTTACCTAGCTCGGGGTTAAGTTCCCAGCACCACGTAAACCAGGGGTGGTGCCGCACACATGTAATCCCAGCATTCAGGATTGCATGGTCATCCTCAACTAAGCAGGGAGTCTGAAGTCAGCCTGGCTGTTTGAGACTGTTTCAAATCAAACCACTCACCTTGTATTTTAAACTAATTATAGATCCGCAGGGAGTCCAGTGTCTGCTCCCCCCCCCCCCCGGCCCTCCTGCCAACCCCAGTCACAAGTTCTCTCACTCTAGAGCAGTACCAGGACCCAGGACGGTCTAGATGCAGGGCGCAGAGCCCTGGCTGGGTTGCAGTCTTGCTTCAGATTCATGCATCCTCCTAGAGCATCCTCCTAGAAACGGCTTTATTCAGCATCTTTCTAATGAGCCTAAATGAGCCTTGAGGTTCGGCCCATTGTAGCTGTGCCTCTTGATGGTCCAGCGAGGATGAGATGGCTATTGCACAGAAGACTGGGGCATCAAAGCTGCCTCAGGAGTAGACTACAGATCTTGTAGCCAGATTGGGGGGCTTGATAGGGTTGGGACTATAGATAAAGAAGCCAAAAAATGACAGGCTGGACTTCATCTGGTCAGCAGGGCCAATGGGTGGTTCCCAAGGTCATGGGAGCCAATGGTTGCAGACCCAAGGCTGTGCTAGAAGTTTTGACATTGGGAATTGATGACAAATTGTTCAGAAATGTAAACAAGGCGGGGTGG